CTGTGAGTGTATGTTTGAGTGTGAGCCAGGGTAAGTGTGTGAGTGTGAGTTAGTATGAGTGAGAGTCTGTTCAAACAAGTTTCTGTCAATTATAATGAGCACTTTCTCCGTTTTTGTGCTTCAATCAGATCTCTTTGCAATCTTCTTAATGAAATCCTTACTTTCCTCTCTACCTTGCACCCTCTTGGCCTCAGTACCATCCTGGTGCAGTATGAACAGAATCTCTATCACCTGATAACTACAGGGACATATGAATTGGGCGAAGGGTTAGGCCATTTGGCCCATTCAGTACATTCACTGCTGATGTGGGTGTAGTGGTAAATGCACTTTCCTGGCCTCCTTCCCTAATAACAATGACTCCCTTGTTAGTCAATCCATCGACAGAGAATGCTGGAGACACTCAGCAGCTCTGGCAGCATCTGTGGAGAGAGAGAGAAACAGAGTTAACGTTTCGAGTCTGACTAGTCTCTCCCACAGTGGGGGATCATCCTCTCAGCGTTCCACACCACCCCCACCCCTGGCTAGTCCCATCAGAGTTCTTAACCAGCTAAAAATCACAACAGTCTACTTTCCCATTAACGTCATAATGTGCTTTTTCCCCAGAGTGGGGGACTCAATTACTAGGGGTCACTATTTCAAGGTGAGAGCGGAAAAGTTTAAGGGAGATATGTGTGGAAAGTTCTTTACGCAGAGGGTGGTGGGTGCCTGGAATGCGTTGCCAGCGGAGGTGGTAGAGGCGGGCACGATAATGTCATTCAAGATGTATCTAGACAGATACATGAATGAGCAGGGAGCAGAGGGATACAGATCCTTGGAAAATAGGCGACAGGTTTAGATAGAGAATCTGGATCGGCGCAGGCTTGGAGGGCCGAAGGGCCTGTTCCTGTGCTGGAATTTTCTTTGTTCTTTGTTCTTTGTGCTGCCTTTCAGCCATTTTGTAAATACTTGGCATTTGCTCAACAATTAAAGCACATTAAGAGATTGCTGACAACTGGCATGTTTCCTCAGGAGAGAGAGAGAGGGAGAGAGAGGAAGAGCTTGTTTTCACGAGGAGAGTAACATGAATTAATAGTGGACAATAAGTGAACACTGCGACTGGTTTACAGCTCAAACAGTAGGCCAGTGAGTGCTTTCTGCTGGGGAGACAGCATTGCCTGGCACTGGGGCAGACACTCATCAAAACTTATTGGATTCTCAAGGGGCTCGACAGGATCAATGCTGAGAGGAGTTATTAAAAATTTATTTATTTGTAGGTATTGCTGGCATTTATTGCCTAACCCTAATTGCCCAGGGGGCAGTTAAGAGTCACCCACATTGCTGTGGGTCTGGAGTCACATGTAGGCCTGACCAGGTAAGGATGGCAGTTTCCTTCCCTAAAGGACATTAGTGAACCAGATGGGCTTTTCCCCCAACAATCAGCAATCGATCCACAGTCATCATTAAATCCTTAATTCTAGAATATTATTGAATTCAAATTCCACCATCTGCTGTAGCAGGATTCGAACCCAGGTCCCCAGAACATTACCTGGCTCTCTGGATTAACAGTCCAGCGATAATACCACTAGACCATTGCATCTCCTGTATGTTGCTCCTCATGGGAGAGTCTAGGACCAGAGGGCACAGTCTCAGAATAAAGAGATGCCGATTTAAGACTGAGCTGGGGAGGAATTTCTTCTCTCAGAGGGTTAGGAGTCTTTGGAACTCCTTGCCACAGAGAGCTGTGGGGGCAGAGTCTGAAATAACTCCACAGAGGCTGGTATCCCATCACCAAGTCACCCTTTATTTACACGTGGAGTGTCCTTGTCACTGATCCAGCTCCCTCAGAGCTACCTCTCAGAGTGAGCAGAGCCTCTGACACTCCTGTTTATATCTGTCAGCCAGGGCTCCCTGATTGGACTCAGATTAACATCCCCAATCAGGGAACTCATATTCTATGAGGTCCACCTGGCTGATCTCATTACCATCACTACAGAGCCCTTGAGTATATTTGAGGCTGAGACAGATAGATTCTTGATCAGTCAAGAAGGGTGAAACACCAGGGTCTTTTCCCTAGGGGTGGGGGAAGTCTGAAACCAGTGGGCATAGGTTTATGGTGAAACGGAAAATATTTAAAAATGGGCCTGAGGAGTAACTTTATCACGCAAAGGGTTGTGTGTGTGTGAAAAGAGCTGCCAGAAGAAGTGGTAGAAGCTGGTACAATTACAACATTTAAAAGGCATCTGGATGAGTACATTAATAGGAAGGATTTAGAGGGATATGGGCCAAATGCTGGCAAATGGGACTAGATCAGATTGGGATATCTGGTCAGCATGGACGTGTTTGACTGAAGGGTCTGTTTCCATGTGGCATGACTCTATGACTCTGTGATTGTAGGGATATGGGGAAAGAGGAGGAAATTGGATATGAGCAATGTTGGATCAGCCATGATTCTATTGAATGGCGGAGCAGGTTCAAGGGGCTGAATGGCCTCCCCCATTCCTATTTCTGATGGTCAGAGGCCAGATCACACAGAGACATAGCACAGACACATGGGAATGGTCTACAACATTCCAGCTATACAGAAACACAGCTAGGAGGAAGACTGGCTTCTGTGAGGAGAGGAGGGGGTGGGAGGTTGGAAGAAGGGGAGGTCGAGAGATAGAGTGAAGGTGAGAAAGAAAGAAAGAACTTGCATTTCTATAGCACCATCCACAACTCAAAGACTATTTCATCCAATTCCATTGTAAACACAGGAAATGTGGCAGTTAATTTGCAGACAGCAAGATCCACAACCAATAACCAGGTTTCTTTAGTAATTGTAAGGATAAAGACTGATCCCCAGGACCTTGTCCAGAAGTTACCTCAGAATCATTTCTGATATTAAATGGGTCTAAAGAGTGCTAGTATCAAGGAAAATTCTTTCACCTCCGGCCCCATGTTGGTGTCAGATGTAGGCCCCTCTCCTAACGCAGAGTTTAGACAGAGCCACGCTCAGTTCGGACCCCCAACATCCACAACAGCCTGCGTTCATATAGAGCCTTCAGCCCTAGGTGCCAAACAAAATCTGACACTGGTGGAGAAGGTGGTGCAGTGGGATGAGTAATCCCAAGTCCAGGCTAATCCCTGGGGATCTGATAGCTGGTGGGATTTAAATTCAAGAATTGAAAACTAGTCCCAGTGATCATGACCATGACACCCATCACCCAGTGTCAGAAAAACCCATCTGGTTTATTAATGGAAAGGAAATCTATTGTCCTTACCTGGTCTGGCCTACATGTGACTCCAGACCACAGCCAATGTGGCTGAATCTTAACTGCCCTTTGAAATAGCTGAGCAAGCCACTCAGTACAAACATAAGAACCAGGTTTGTGTTAGGGTTAGGGTTAGGGTGGGGTGAGGGTTAGGGTTAGGGTTAGAGTTAGTGTTAGGGTTAGGTTTAAGGTTAGGGTTAGGGTTAGGGTTAAGGTTAGAGTTAGGTTTAGGGTTAGGGTTAGCGTTAGGGTTAGGGTTAAAGTTAGTGTTAGGGTTAGGTTTAAGGTTAGGGTTAGAGTTTGGGTTAGGGTTAATGTTAGGGTTAGGTTTAGGTTAGGTTTAGGGTTACTGTTACATTTAATGTTAGGGTTGGGTTAGGTTTAGGATCAGGGTTAGGTTTAGGGTTAGGGGTTGGGTTAAGGTTAGGGTTAGGGTTAGGTTTAGGGTTAGGGTTAGGGTTAGGGGTCTAGCAGGGGTTTAGAGTTAGGGTTAGGTTTAGGGTTAGGTTTAGGGTTAGGGTTATGCTTCTTGAGCGATAGGGTTAGGGTTAGGGTTAGGGGTCTAGCAGCGGGTTAGGGTTAGAGTTAGGGTTAGGGTTAAGGTTAGGGGTCTAGCAGGGGGTTAGGGTTAGAGTTAGGGTTAGGGCTAGGGTTAGGGTTAGGGTTAAGGTTAGGGTTAGGGTTAGGCTTCTTGAGCCTGCCCCACCATTTACTACGATCATGGCTGATCTCAGCTCGGCCTCAACCCCACTTCCCTGCCCACTCTCCATAACCTTTCTACCCATTACTAATTAAAAACTTGTCTATCTCCTCCTTAGATAGATAGTAGGAACTGCTGATGCTGGACAATCTGAGATAACAATGTGTAGAGCTGGATGAACACAGCAGGCCAAGCAGCATCAGAGGAGCAGGAAAGCTGACGTTTCGGGCCTTGACCCTTCTTCAGAAATCCTGCTCCTCTGACGCTCTGATTTCTCCTTATCTCTGTTTTAAATCAGCCCCCTTTGTCCTAAAATGATGACCTCTTGTTGTGGAGTGCCCCACATGAGGAGACATCCTTTCTACATCTACTGTTTCAATTCTTTTCAAAATCTGGTGAGGCTCTGGTCAGGCCGCATTGGGAATATTGAGAGCAGTTTTGGGCCCTGTATCTAAGGAAGGATGTGCAGGTGTTGGACGGGGGTGGGGTTCAGAGGAAGTTTACAAGAATGATCTTGGGAATGAAGGGCTTGTCATATGAGGGGCGGTTGAAGACTCTGGGTCTGTACTCCATGGAGTTTGGAAGGATGAGGGGGGGATTCTGATTGAAACTTACAGAATACTGAGGGGCTGGATAGGGTGGATATGGAGAATACATTTCCACCAGAAGGAGAGACTAGGACCCAAGGACACAGCCCATCGAGTTCACACTGACTCTCTGTAGACCATTCCACCCTTACCCACTCCTCTATCCCATAACCCTGCACTTGCCATGGCTAATCCACCAAATATCCCTGGACACTATGGGACAATTTAGCATGACCAATCCACCCTGACCTGCGCATCTTTGCACTGTGTGGGGAAACCAGAGCCCCCGAAAGGAACACAGGGAGAATGTGCAAACTCCACACAATCCCAGGTCCCTGGCTCTGCAAGGCAGCAGTGCTAACCACTGAGCCACCGTGCTACCCATTGATGCTGCTGGCCTCTCCAGTGACAGCCACATTCTGCAAAAGGATATATAAAAATCAGTTGATATTCGGAGAGATGATCAAATGGGCAGGAGCGAAGGAGAGTCTTGAGAGCAACAGAAAGATTTTGATGGAGGGAATTCCAGGCCTGCATGGTGCAGCCACCAATAGTAGCAAGGTCACCATGGGGGGCACCAATGCATCAAGATGTAGAGGGTCTGGATCTCGAAGAGATCACAACGTTTGGGAGGGGCAAGGCCGTGATACAAAGAATGAGTAGCTCAGAGGGGTTGAGGTGGGGCCACACCAGGAGGCAGCAATGTAGCTTGCTTCCCTCCATACTACCCCAGGCAGCTCATAACCATCGGGCTGGAGTTGGGAAGCTTTTCTGAAATGCTTGTCTTGACAGGAGCTGAAATGGAAAGTCCTGGTGAAGGGAAAGCGGATTGGCAAGTTAGCGGATTGCCTGAACGGGCAGGGAGAGGATCATGATACCGGAGAGGTGACTGACGAGGATGAAGCTGCTGAGATGGATGACGAGAACATCAGGAATGAAGTGAAGAAGAAAGGGAAGGTACAGGCTGCATTTGACTAGTGCCAACTCAGCCCTGTTGGTGTGAATGGCCCTACCCCTCCTCTTTACCCTACCCCGTGGAGTGGCGGGGTGTTGGGGGTGGTGGTGTGGTTGGGGGAGTGGTGCGGTTTGGGAAATGTTCTGCTGCAGGATCGGGGAAGACCCCAGTGGAAGTTTGAAGACTACAGCTACTCAATGAGCTCACTGTCCAAATCAACAACCCCCCTCCTAACTGCAGGGGGACGTTTGGTCAGACATTGCCCAGGCACTGTCACTTTGTGATTGTATCTCACAGGCCACAGGGGCTCAGCCTCATCTTCTCAAGGGCAATTAGGGACAGCTAACACCTTCACATCTCTGTGAATAAAAACTTTACAAACTTGATATAAAGTTCTTACAGACTCTGAAACTGGGCTTTGGTTTATGTTTTGCTCTGAATACTTCTTTTGCCTAAATTGGACTTGGGGGAGATGTTAGTGTCATTCACCACACAAGAGCGAGGCAATGACTATCTCCATCAAGACACAATCCACCCATTGTTTAATGGTGATACCATCACCGAATCCCCCACTATCAACATCCTGGCGTTATCACTGACCAGAAACTCAACTGGACTCACCACATAAACATAGCGGCTACAAGAGCAGGTCAGAGGCGCGAAATACTGGAGAGGGTAACTCACCTCCTGACTCCTCAAAGCCTGTCCCCCATCTACAAGGCACAAGTCAGGAGTGTGATGGAATACTCCCCACTTGCCTGGATGGGGGCAGCCCCAGCAACACTCAAGAAGCTTGACACTGCAGCGGTTCAAGAAGGCAGCTCACTCCCATCTTGTCACCCACATCACTCTGCCACACTGCAGCTGCAACCCCTCCTCTGTTTATTTCTAAATGCACTCCTGTCTCTCTGCTTTGATTGGTTGTCAGGGGTCGAAGCAGAGATTGGCCAAGGAATTGTCGGACTGTGTGATCTACTGCAAGAGTGTTCATTTCCACAGCTTCAAACATTCCCGAGCACATTACAAATTCTACGAAATCTCCTCTTTCGCTGAATCCAAGGCCAGAAAACTGATCAAAGAATCTGGTGAGTGACAATGACAGGCTGGAATCTAACTGAGGGGTTCGGGGTGGTTTATATTTGGAATAGCAGCTCCCTGGGAGGGAGTTACAGACTATAATCTAATCGAGGGGTTCGGGGTGGTTTATATACAGAATAACAGATACCCAGGAGTGAGTTACAGACTGGAATCTAATCGAGGGGCTCGGGGTGGTTTAGGTACAGAATAACAGATACCCGGGAGTGAGTTACTGAGAGGAATCTAATCGAAGGGTTTTGGGGTGGTTTATATACAGAATAACAGATACCCGGGAGGGAGTTACAGACTGGAATCTAATGGAGGGGTTCGGGTGGTTTATATATAGAATAACAGATACCCGGGAGTGAGTTACTGACAGGAATCTAATTGAGGGGTTCGGGGTGGTTTATATTTAGAATAACAGATATCCAGGAGTGAGTTACAGACTGGAATCTAATCGAGGGGTTTCGGGGTGGTTTATATACAGAATAACAGATACCCCAGAGTGAGTTACAGACTGGAATCTAATTGAGGGTTTGGAGTGGTTTATATATAGAATAACAGATACCCGGGAGGGAGTTACAGATTGGAATCTAATTGAGGGATCTCCGAAGTCTCTGGATTACAATATCTGGGTGTTAATCAGTTTTGGTGGGTTGAATAGTTCGATTTGGTGACTGGATCTCGTTTATTTTGTTCGGTGAGCTATTGATCAGTTAGGTTTCTTCTCTGATCTTTCTGTTGTGATTTATTGACTGTGCTGTCTGCTCTGTTTCCCTAACAGTGAATGAGTTTGTTTGTCACAATGCCTGGCAGCTGACCCGTGTGTATCCCAGTGGCTTCAGAACGGATTCCTCAAACTTCAGCCCCCAGGAGATGTGGAATGCAGGCTGCCAAATAGGTAACCAATCACCTCAGGTGATCCATTGGATCAGGGAGCTGTGGTGTTTGTCCCAGGTCTGTCAGCTGCTCAGGGTAGGGGAATGGAATCTGCAAATTCCCTCAAATCTTTATATTTAGGATAGAGAGGGAAATGCGGACTTCCATGTTTTAGAATCATAGAATGGTTAGACTGCATTAGGAGGCCATTCAGCCCATTTACTCCATGCTGGGTTGCTGTAAGAGCTACTCAATAGTGCCACTCGTCCCCCACCTTTTCCATGTAGCCCAGTAACTGTTTGCCGTCCCCCTCTTAGTTAAACCTGCCGCTGTCCTCACTCACAGACAGCATGTTACAGATCCGAACCACTCACTGCATTTCTGCCAGTGCATTACCCTAATCCCTCAATTGTGTTTACCAGCCTGCCCCAGTGGGACCTTATCTAAAAGATTCTGAAAATCCAAATACACCACATCCAGTGGTCCCACTGTTCCCAGTATTCCAATGGGACACAAAGAAGTTTGTCAGCCATGGTATCCCTTTCACAAATCCATGTTAATGCAGTGCAATCAAATCATCATTTTCTAAGTGTTCTACATATCTACACCTCCCTGAACACTACCGGTAATTTCCCATGGCCAATCCACCCTAACCTGCACATCTTTGGACCGTGGGAGGAAACCGGAGCACCCGGAGGAAACCCACGCAGACATGGGGATAATGTGCAAACTCCACACAGACAGTTGCCCCAGGGTGGAATCGGACCCGGGTCCCTGGTGCTGTGAGGCAGCAGTGCTAACCGCTGAGCCACCGTGCCACCCTAGATTCTAATACTTTCCCTAGCACTGATGTCGGACTAATAGCTCCGTAGTTTTCCATTCTCTCTCTGTCTCGCTCTCTCTCCCCTTTTCTTAAACAGTGGGCTGACATTTACAACTTTCAGCTTCCAACATCCACTATCTCTGTATCCACCTCTTAAAACCACCTGGAATGGGAATCATTGGGTCCCAGTAGTTAACTGCTAATCTTTTGTTGTTTCATGTTTTTTTAAACCTAATTTTACATGCAGAAGCTTTTACTGTCTGTTTTTATGCTTCTTGCTAAATTATATTAATTATCTATTCTCCCTTTCTTTATCATCTCCTTCATCTTTTGCTGCGCTCCCATTCCTCAGCCATACCAATTTTTTGACAACTATAAAAGCCTCCCTTTTTGATCTAGAAGACTATTTCACTTCCTTTCTTAGTGACAATTCTCTCATTTTTCCAGTTGGGAATTTTGTGCCTTAAATAAATGTGTTGGTTGTAAACCATGTATTAGTTCTTTAAATACTAGCCATTACTTGGCTACCATCATACCTTTTAATGTATTTTCCCAATCCACAACAGTCAGTTTGCTCCTTATACCTTTATAATTTAATTTGTTTAGATTTAAGATCTTAATTTCATTTTGAACTACAGCCTTTTCCAATTTAATGCATTTTCCAAAGTATTATGATCACTCTTCCCTGAAGGTTCTTTTACAACAGGATTACTAAACTAGCCCTTTCTCACTGCATACCACTAGATCTATAAAAATCATTCTCCTAGTTTTTTAAAAAATTACTTGTGGAACCAGGGCATCACTTGCTGGGCCAGTATTTATTGCCTGTCCCTAGTTGCCCCTTGAGAAGGCGGTGGTGAGCTGCCTTCTTGAACCGCTGCATTCCTCCTGCTGTGGGTTGACCCACAATGCCATTAGGGAGGGAATTCCAGGATTTTGACCCAGCGACAGTGAAGGAACGGCGATATATTTCCAAGTCAGGATGGTGGGTGGCTCGGAGAATGGTGTTCCCATGTATCTGCTGGCCTTGTCCTTCTAGATGGAAGTGGTCTTGGGTTTGGAAGGTGCTGCCTGAGGGTCTTTGGTGAATTTCTGCAGTGCATCTTGTAGATAGTACACACCGCTGCGACTGAGTTGTTTCCTCAATGTACTGTCTAGAAAATCATTTCAATCACATTCTAGGAATTCCTGCTGTGGTGCATTGATCCACATCAAATATAGACATCTATAAATAGAATCATAGAGTCATAGAGTCACACAGCACGGAAACAGACCCTTCGGTCCAACCATTCCATGCTGACCATAATCCCAAACTAAACTATTTCCACCTGCCTGCACTTGGCCCACGTCCCTCCAAACATTACTTACTTATTCAAAATTTTTTTAAATTTTGTAACTGTACCCACATCCACCACTTCCTCGGGAAGTTCATTCCACACATGAACTGTGTCCCTCATATCTTTTTAAAATCTTTCTCCACTCAGCTTAAAAATATGCCCCCATCCCGGTTTTGAAATCTCCCACTCTAGGGAAAAGACCTTTGCTATTCATCTTATCTATACCCTCCATGATTATATAAACTTCTATAAGGCCAACCTCCTACACTTAGCAGAAAAAAGTCCCAGCCTACCCAGCCTCTCCTTATAACTCAAACCCTCCATTCTTGGCAACATCCTGGTAAACCTCTTCTGAACCCTCTCCGCTCTAATAATATCCTTCCTATAACAGGGCGACCAGAACTGTATACATTGCTCCAGAAGAGACCTCACCAACAACTTGTGCGACCCCTACAAGACGAACCAACTCCTATACTCAAAGGGCTGAACAAAGAAAACAAGCGTGCTAAACACTTTTTTAACCTCCCTGTCTGCATGTGATGCAAGCTTCAAAGAATTATGTACCTGAACCCCTAAGTCTCTCTGTTCCACAACACCACCTAAGGTCCTACTTTTAATTGTATAAGTCCTGCCCTTATAAATTAAAATCATCTACGTTTACTGTATTTCCCTATAACAGGCACCTTTAATTTCCTGATTTATACATTCCCTACATCACCGTAACTGTTTGGTGGCCTATTCAGAACTCCCATCATTGTTTGCTGCTCCTTGCTGTTTCATAATTCCACCCAAACATTCTGTAGGTCACTTGTATATTATCTAGAAAAACAGGACTCCGGGATTTCTACGATAAAGCTCCTCCAGTCTGATAAACAGCTGTTCACCAACACTCTGTCTCCTGTAGCACTCAGCAAATTTTGAATCTTTTTTGTTGATGTCTCTTTTATTTTCCATGGCCTTTGACTTGCTCACAAATCCATGTCATGACATCAACAGCATTCCCTTCATCTAAGCTCTCTGTAACCGGTTACCACCCCAGAACAGATCCCCAAATCTGATTACAATCTGGCAGGGACCCATAATTAACACTTTAAACAGGCAGGGTTTGAAATCCCAGTTATTTTCTGAGAGAATAATGTCACACGATTCGAACACTTTTAAACAAATGGAAGAAATTTTTGCGATCGAAAGGCCAGCAAAGCAAGTGGTGAATGCAACCTATCTTATACTCTAACATCCAAATTAACATGAGGTAAACATGAATTAACAGGCAAACTGTGGGCAAACGCACCATCAAACTGCACATTAAGTGCCAGGCTCAATTAAGGCGGGTCCCTGTGAACTTCTCAATAACCAAACCAGATAAGTGCAGTTACTGTGAGTCCCAAAAATTCTATAAAACTCTGTCACCCATGCAATGGATTTCAGCTCCTCTCTTTTGAGGATCCAGCCTCTGAATTCCCTCAATAGCCCTCCTCCCCCAACTGTGATTGTTTCACAGACCGCTGCTTCCCAGTTGTTCAACTTCTTCTCCTGAGATTGGATTCTCTAGGCTGCTCTCCAGTGTCGAATTGCCAACAAAGATCTTAGCTCTCCAGCTGCTCTGGATAGAACCCACTGTCCCTGGGCATCCATTTACTTCCTTCTGCCAGCTTCAGTAACAGATAGCCACAGCCTATTTTTGGTTAAACTTTCTGGCTCTCTAGGAGGCAGCTTCCTTTCAGCTCCACTGCATTGATAAGTCTCCCAGATCTTCCCCCAGTGACCGGCCTGAAGCCTCTGTCACCTTCTCCGCTGTGTTTCTCAGCAGCACTGAGCCAGTGATGTTCAGCTGAACTGCTAACAGTAACAATTGAACTGCTTGGACTTTGCTCCTGACTTAACTGCTTGCTAATTGCTGTCGACTGATCCTTGAACTAATCTGTTTGATCCATTAATATATCCCAAAAGTTTCCCACCTCAGTTCCAAAACAGAATCAAATTGGAATATCCTCTCCCTTCAATGATACAATCTTCAGTTAACCAATTTCCATTTCTGCTTAATTACAAACAAAAATAGAACCAAAACAAAACTAGATTTCATCACAAACCTCATGAGAAACCCAGGCAAGGTCAGTAACTATGATTT